TCCCTACAATTTACTTTGTACCTGGCAATAACATCAAGGAGTATCTTATTTCAAAAGCAAACCTGAAGATGTAAACTCTAAATTTAATAGAATATATTGCTATTTGTGCGAGTATATGTGTTTAATTGTTTATAAATCTTGATACATTCATATGTATGCAACTTTTAAAATAAAATAGGTATTATATAAATACTATTCTCTTTCAGGAGAAGAAGCAATAGGTCATACAAATATCTTCAGTTTCATCTGTAAATTTCCAAGAATTAGAAAACCAAAATCTCTGAAAATCACAGACTGTTACCTCTCCGAGTTCTTCATGGCTCTGTTCAGTGTAGGTAGTCTCCTTTAAAGGCTCAACAGGCTCAGGTTCAATGTATGAGTCATCTTGCCTTTCTGATGTATCTGTGTCACTTTCTTCACTTTTCCCCATCACCTCATTGTCAGACTCATCATGCTCTTGATCATTTTCTTTATCAGATTTATCAGAATACATATCTTGGTCCTTAAAATGCTGTCGTTCAATTTCACTATCATTTAACCTTAAGAGAAAGAATTATTAGGAGGAAGGATAAAGGAGGTTAAGAATATTTAATTTATAAATAAGAAGGATATGTAACACTTACTGAGAACTTACTATGTGCAGGGTACCATTCTAAGTGTTTTATATAGTTTAACTCATTTAATCATAAAATAGTCCTATAAGTAAAATTATTACTCTCACTTCACAGATTAATAAATGGAGGCACAGAGAAATTAAATTAAAACCTGGATCATGCTAAAAGATGACACTCTGAGCTCTTTGCTTCTCTATCCTTTAGGTCTAAAATTTTCCAAAAGCAAAAGTTTAGACTATTTCTTGCTAGATTTTTTTCTTAGTTTTACAAACATCATCACTTGAATCAACTTATCACTTCTGGTCTAAAGAAAAACTTCAAGACAAGACCACTAGATTCTCAAGTGAACGCAAATGAATTATGACTTTCTACCTGTAAAGGTCTCCAAAGTCACTCATAATAAGTCCAAAAATAAAAGGAGAAATGTATAAGGTAATTATATCGATTTAATAGTGGACTGAGGACTTCCTTGGTGGCACAGTGGTTAGGAATCTGCCTGTCAATGCAGGAGACATGGGTTTGATCCCTGGTTCGGGAAGATCCCACATGCCGCAGAGCAATGAAGCCTATGCGCCACAACTACTGAGCCTGCATTCTAGAGCCCGCGAGCCACAACTACTGAGCCCCTGTGCCACAACTACTGAGCCTTCACCCTAGAGCCCGCGCTCCGCAACTACTGAAGACTGCACACCTAGAGCCAGTGCTCCGCAACGAGAGGCCACCAAAATGAGAAGCCTGCGCACCACAACGAAGAGTAGCCCCCGCTCACCGCAACCAGAGAAGGCCCATGCGCAGCAACAAAGACCCAACGGAGCCAAAAGAAAGAAAAAAAAACAACTGGATAGGATTAGCCTTGAAAAAAAAACTCTATGGAGAACTGGAAATGGAAATTTCAGCTTAAGGAAATGAAACCTATGGCCTAAAATTGTTAAGCTGCCATACCCAACCTTATTCTTACTTACAAGACTAGGGTTACTAATCTGCACAAAAAGGAAACAATTTTTTTAAAAAAATCACTTCCAGAATCAAACATTTTTTTAGAAATTTCTCATTTAAGCAAGTATCTGTGGGTTTCATTTGGTATAAAAAAATTGTAAAGTACTTTACAAATGAATACATGGTGCCGCTATATATAATAATTGACATTTTAACAATGCTGAGATAAGTTTAACAGAGCAGAGTAGTCCTATTTGATTCTCTTTTAGTCTCTATTTTTCCAAAATCTTCTTATATTTGGATTTTAATCAGACAACTTCTAACAGAAAGTCATTTTTTAGAATACTTATTTTCTTTTTTTTCCTTTACAATCATATATTGCTGTCTTTGCTTTCTTACCATCTAGTCTCTCCTTAATCACTCACAATCTGGTTTTTATTTTCTCTTTTATTTTGTTTTATCCTCTCTCCCCTTTGGCAACCTGTCCAGTTTCAAGACTTCATCATTTCTATTTGATGATTTCTGTTTGATGATTTCCCATGCATGGAAGAATAAGCTTCAGATTCACGTTTTTAAATGCTTCGTTGACCACATCTATATACACTGGGACCACTGCATCCTCAACATGTCCAATATTTAATATATTACCTCCCAAATATGGTCCTTTTAAAAATTTTTTATCATCTTCCCAGTCACTCAGGCTTAAAACTTGGTAATCTTTTTTTAACCTTACCCGTTTCCTGTCTCTTACATCCAAGGAGATTCTAAGTCTCGAAGGTAGGCTCCCATCCTTCCTCATCTCTGCATCATCAGTTCCTAGCTCATTTTCTGTCATATATCCAAATGAACGTGTTCATATGTTGATTCTACTTAATGGTAAAACCTGTTATATTGATCCTCTCCCTGATTCCCTAGCTGGATATTATGTTTTCATCCTCCAAATTCTCCTGATCCTATATTACCCTAAGACATCTCTCCTTTGGTTGTTTATGTCATTCTTTTCTTCCTACTATTTATAGTTGCCTGGCATTTTATCGCTTTCAAGCAAAACAAAACAAAACATCTCTCTAGGATTACATAGCTAGTAAACTGTTATACTGGATTCAAATTTAGGATCATATCTGATTCATTTTCCTATTCACAATGTGGTGAATTACAAAGAAAAGTGTATGGTATCTTGCACAAAAAAGAGACTCAAAATTTTTTAATGAATAAATACGTGAAGCAGATGAATTTTAAGATCCCCAAATAAGAGTATTTAAGGATTACCTGGTATTCTATAATACCAGGGGAAAAGGCCCCAACAAAAACCCATTCCTATATCAGGTGCACCTCCCTCCCCCTCATCCTATCCCATTCAGACTCCTACACTAGGATAAAATAAAGCTCCAGATTATAGATCTGCAAAGAAAGGATGTAAAAGATAAGGTAATGGTGTTTTTATTTATTTATTTATTTATGGCGGTTTTAAAAGAGAGTAAAGAAAAAGAGTCAAACAGAAGGATAAAAAAAAAAAAAAAAAAAAAGTTCAGCTCCGCTTACAGGGAAGCAAGGAGAGAAGCAGTCTAACTTTGAGGAGGGTAACGTCAATGCTGACAGAAATAAGTGTCTGCAGAGAAGCTAGCTGAGGGCTGGGGCCAGGCAGGAAAAGCGGAAGTCTATTTTTCCTGCAAAGCAACAGAAGAGATCTGAACCTCAACCTTCGTTTCCTTGAAGAAAATTTTTTTTAGTATGAACTACAATGAATGCTTCAGGGGAAAAAAAAAACCACAAATAGGATACAGTTCCAATTTGAAACACAATATAATAGGAGAATTCCACAAATACCAGGTAGAATAAGTCAAGTCCATTATAGAAAAAACAAAAAAGTGCTAATAGAACAAAAGTAGAAGGACGGATTACATCTCATTTTTATGAGGCAAAGAAAGGCTTCACATATGACATAGTATTTGAGATTGAGATTGGCCTTGAAGAAAACACAGGAGTATGACGGAAGAAAAGAGCAAGGAGGACTAGAGGTCATTCTCAATTGACGGAGCACCAGGCACAAAGACAAGGTAGTTAGCATGGTTGTATTTAGGAAAGAACAAGTAATTCATATTAGCTGGAATCAAGGAAATAACTTTCTATACCTCACCATAGCAACTCAACAAATTTTAAACCAGGCCATAGGGGTTTAAAGACAGCTAAGTTTCAATCCTAGATACAATACAAAAATTCTAGGCCTGCCAACTAACCTAGTGAATAACACAGTGTCGAAAATAATCACCAAATTAGTGGCAATATCTACTTACTGGAAGTTATCACCACTGTGGAGACTGTTAGCACGTAATAAGCCATACAAAGTCACATGTGTGCTCTCTGATGAGATGCTCAGGTCATGTTCCTTTCCTTCCCTGATCATTGTACGTTTAAGAAGACTAGAACATTTCAAAGCCAACTCCAAAGCATCCATCCAGCACCTTCCTAGAAGAAGACAGATTCATAAATAGTATAATTCAAGAAACTAGAAAAACTAGCATCCATCTTAATTTAACACTGATAACTTTTAAACATACTATTATTTCTCTCAGAAACATGCAGTGTAAAAATTAATTAGAATATAAAGTCCTGCCAGGATGTCTTAATGCAATTTTTCAGTTTAATAAGTGCTTTTTACATTCTAAATATCTAGAAACCACTGGTAAATAAATAGCATTAACACACATTAGAAAATACATCTAATCTAAAATAAATGTACTTTATTTTTAAAAGCTTCAAACATTAACATGTAGAATAACTGAAGGTACCAAAAAGGTACATGAAATATACCTAAGGGATTATGTTTCTACTATAAACAAACTATCTAAAATAATATTTTGTTGTTGACAGGACATCTATCCCAGGTTTAGCACCCAAATTTTAAGTCAGAAAAATACCTGTCTAGTACTGTTATTAACTGCCATATTAGTTAGTAGAAACATTAATAACTTAATTTTGTGTGTGTGTGGTTGACTCTCCCTATGTATTTTAATTTTTGTTTATATTTGACTATAGTTGATTTACAATGTTGTGTTTCAGGTGCACAGCAAAGTGATCCAGTTATACATATACATATATCTATTCTTTCTGAAATTTTTTTTCCCATTTAGGTTATTACAGAATATTGAGCAGAGTTCCCAGTGCTCAACAGTGCTCAGCAGTAGGTCCTTGTTGGTTATCTATTGTAAATATAATAGTGTGTATATGTCAATCCCCAAACTCCCAATTTATCCCTCCCCCCAATGACTTTATTTTTTTTAATTAAAATTTAGAACAGTACTAGTAGGAAAAAAATGTTAATTGCTCTTAAAAGTCATATACATTTGTTTCAAGATATGGTGGCAATATCAGCCACATAAATCGTTTTCATAATGAAAGCTCATGCCTATGATATTTTAAGTTAAAAAATAATCATCTAGTGAAAGTAAAGTTTAGAAGGCTACATGATTCCCTAGGCTAAGCTAGTCTACACTATAAAACATAAAAGTGAAGAAAAAATCCATTATCAATCATTAAAGTTTTAAAGTTACCTTGCTTTCATACAAATTATACCCTCCCTATATTTGTTTCAGGAATTAAGTATTAAGTAATAAAGTACAGAATAGACGTTTGTGTTTGAATGTCTTATGCAAAAAAACAAAAACAAAATAGTGTATATAGTGTCATGTTAATATTTAATGATAAAATATAAATAGTATTAAATGTACTTCTAAAATGACAAAACTTAATGAGTTACCACAGAGAATACTAATCAAGTCAAAAAGGTGTTAATATGTCAATAAAGGATGAAGAAGAAAACTCCAGGCTGCTAGTTTATCACTCAATTATATAATGCTTCCTTCCTATTAGATTTCCCCATTTGTCAACCAAGTTGATGATATATTTAGTGTTCTAGGCAATTTATGATTATAATAACCTCTGCTGCAAATTCCATACTAAATGCAGATTTCCCAAAGGAGAATGTAGCGATCTATAAAAGTATAGATCTATAAAAGCATATAGTATATTTTTAAGTGACCCTTAAAAATAAGGACCAAAATCCAATCCATCATTTGTATTTACCATCTGACTCTGAAGTAGCTCGGATGATCAAATAACTGCTAGGTAAGGGCTGAGTTATGGACCCAACTGCTTCACCTTTTGGACCCTTAAAAGCAGAATAAACAAAATAAATGGTGTACAGTATTATGAGATCTCAACTTTATATTATTCATAATTATCTGTAATAATCTGAGGCATGGATTATAATTTTTAAAAACAAACAAGCTTTAATTTCATGCTTCTTAAGAAAGCAAATGTTAAGTACTGAGGAAAGATTTCCTCTTCCACAAAATTTACCTCCTTACCAGAAAACTGAACTTATAGTTAACATTAAGCATTACCTCTGCATATTGTTCACTATATTAAAGAGAAACCTAAAATTTCCCATACGAGACCAAATTTTAATTTAACAGAGAATTTCCATACTACAGAAACTATTAGATGAGAAATACTAAATTTCTGGAAGCCTAAAGAAACAGCTGGAAACTTATAAGAAAAAGAGAAATGAATTTTTACTAGGTCCAGGGAAAAATAATTTTTTAAGTTGTCAGATCAAAGAATAAAATGGATTTTAAGAAGGATAAACATTAGGAAGTAAAGATGGACATTTAAAGTGAAAAAAGTAGAAACAAATCAATAAGATTTTAACAAATCCTATAATATCCCTTGGGTATTTTCAAATGGCTTTATAATTTATGGTCTAGTTCCTAGAACCAGTAATAGAGTAGGACCTTGAGTCAGACTGCCTGGGTTTCAATCTTGATTCCATACTAGAAAAATTACTTAAGTAACCTCTTTAGGCCTCAATCTCTTTATCTGGGTAATGGGGGAAATTTGTATCCTCCTTACAGGACATTTGTATCCTCCTTATCTCGTACCTTACAGGTATGAGAATTAAAAACAGATTCCATATAACATGCTGAAAAGAGTCCCTGACACAAAGTAAAAATTTATAAACATTACTCTTTCCTAAGCATAGACACTGACTTTTAAGCTGCTTAAACAATGTCCTAAGTAGGTTTTGCTTGTGAAGAATATTCTGATGTTCGTATAACTGTACAAATTTCCCTCCCACCAATATCTGGAATGAAATAACTTGACATTGTAAGTATCTTTTAATGACTTAAAAATTCATTATAATTCTTACAATGCCTAAAAATAGTAGTAAGGAATAAATAATATACATATAAAAGATTCTGAAAGTAATTTTTTTTCACTTCAGAATGACATGATACATAAGTACCAGAGGTTTCATGGGTTAAATTCTTTCCCCTGTGGGAAGTATATAATCTCAGAATAAAACTAACTCTGTAATCCTAAATTTATTCCTGCTATGATTCCACACTACTGAAATAAAGGTTAAAAGTCCAGGTCTTTTCCTAGGTGTCTGTATATTGCCTAATTAAGCAATACCCAACAAATTAAAAAGCTGAAGCTACTTTTAGTTCTAATCTCAATTAGGTTGTTTACCTAAAGGAGGAGTCCTAAAACCTTTATTCAAGCGTAACTGACTTTAGAAACTAAAACAATGATCGCTTTGTAAAAACTTAAGCTAGACTCATTTATTCAGTTAGCATGTACTGCCTGTCTACTGTTTGTAGAATTCCTTAGTATAATAGTTTATCAAATAGAGCATTTCTATTTTCTTGATTGTTTGTTTTTAAAACAAGGAGTGACCACGGTAATGCTTTTTAGTTATAAAAGCATTAGAGCTCCATCTTCAAAGAAAGCTGCCTCTCAAAAATATGTAGGACTGCTTCTGCTTATAGGCTTCCTATCACATATTTACATCACTACAGGAAAGACCACCAAAATAAATGGCAGCTTCTGTTCTAGGGAGTCTGACAATTTGATAAAGAGAAGAACACTCACAGTAAACAGGATACAATATTACAAAGCAAAGCTGGTAATTGCAAAGTAAAACAACAGTACAAACAATCCCTACAGACAAGAGATAATAAGGTACAATATAAATTTGGGAAGCATTTTCTGGAGAAATTTTTAAATTAGATCTTAAAGGTAAACTAAGCATTTTGGTGCACATTTCATCGTGGGTAGAAACAGAAAGAGGAATAATGTGATTGAAGACAAAAACAAATTTATAAGTTCTGGCAGAGGACAGCAATCATTAATCATTCATTGATTTATCTCAGTTCTACTTATAGATTGTCATCTTTACCTCTCACCTATATAACAAGTGCTTACTTACCTTCACTGCCCAAATGGACTGCTCCAAAGGATGGAAAAGTTTAAAACAAAAGCCATCCTTTTTTGATGGACGCTCAATGATCTCACAGGCATTCAGAAGGACTGTTCCTACCCATTGACCATTTTTTTGGGTTTTATAGATCAGTAGCACACCAGGTTTCAACACACACCACAATTTGGTCCAGCTCTTTAGAGTACCACGAATCTACAAAAATATAAGTTTATTTAAGAAGTAAACCTTTGTTTCTCTGCTCCACAAGATACTAACCAAACAGAGGCAAATAGGGTATTTTAATCTAAAATTTCCATAAAGTGTACACTTTAAATTCACTAGATGTATGTTTGTTAAGCTACTAAATAGCAAGCACTGGAAATAAATGTGAAAACAGCATGACTCCTGCTTCTGAGGAACTTAAATTCTAGTGGGAGACTGCATCAACAATTTCAAAACAATGTACCAAGTAGAATGGTTTTCCTAACCTTCCTGGCCAGGTCAGGGGCCATTAAAATATACTTTCCTAGTATAGGACATGGAGCTTAAAGACTTAGTAAGTAGAGCCAATATAAGTCAGAAGGTGTTTTCAAAATAATATCGAAGAAGACCCCCGTGTTACTTGAACTATCAAGGAAACTATCACTAGACTTCTATTTTAGTAAGAAAACTTCCATGACAGATCCCATAAGGATTTTAGGTTGGAGGTTGTACCTACCCTTGGGGAAGGTGAAAAGCTTTCAATGCTGGGGTGATTTTTAGGTGAAAGTCATGTACTAAAACTTCCTGGGAGTCAGGGTCTTACAAGACCATTCTCAAAGTTAGCGTTAGGCTAAAATATTCCTACCAAATATCCTACAGATAAGAATGATAAAGAGGATAGAGTGACTAAGATGACAGAAAATAAAAATAAGTGGAAATAACCAGAGGCTAAAAGAATAAGGAATAGAAACAGCAATATGTATGTTGTTCTGCAAATTAATGCTTTTCAAATGGTAACTTTTACACTAACTTTGTCTCATATCTTCTCCAAAATGCAAATATACCAAGTCTACAATAATACTAAATGGTAATTTGAACAGCAAACAAAATATTTCTTTACAGGACATCAATGAGACCAGTGGTCCCCAACCTTTCTGGCACCAGGGACCGGTTTTGTGGAAGACAATTTTTCCACAAAGAGGGGGGATGGTTCAGGTGGTAGCACAAGCGATGGGGAGCGGCAGATGAAGCTTCGCTCGTCCGCCGCTCACCTCCTGCTGTGCGGCCCGGTTCCTAACAGGCCGCAGACCGGTATTGGTCCATGGTCCGGGGGTTGGTGACCCCTGGATTAGACTATATCATGTCACACAAATCAAAACGCCTTTTTAAAAGAACTGCTATCCATATTTGATGTATTGTCAAGAGAGACAACATTATGGTTTCTTCTCTCCATTAAGACTGGAACATAGATCCTCTGGGATACAATTAATAGTTTCTTCATCAGTGAAAAACAATCAACCTAGATGTTTTTGTCTTGCAGGCTTTTAGGTGCACTCTGGGCTTTCCTATTCCAGTTGGTAAATATCCAGCATTTGAATTCAAGAGTCAATAAATACAAACTGACCTTCAACCAATCAGCCATAACAATAACAGAGGGATCTGTGATTGTACTGAGTAACTCCTTTGTGGCTCTTTTCTTTTCTTCTCGGTAATTTTTCTTCTGTACCTATTTTACAGAAATGATAGAAAAATTAAAAATTCATTAGAAATAGGCAATTTCTCTCCAATTTTTTAGCTCCATAGTATGTAAAAAAATTTACACTCTAAAATAAAATTCTAAACCTCTTTTAGAATTCTAGCATCTTAGGACAGACCTTTTTTTTTTTTTTTTTTTAAGAGCTGGTAGAAATTTTTAGAAAAGCAAGGTTAGGATCTAGTTTTTCTGATCACTAGTCCAATTCTCTGCATATTTTTAAAGAATTTTACGTTTTTAAAATTACACAGTACATGAATACAAACTCATGGTAAAAATTTCAAACAACACAAAGCTAAAAGCCGTTTTTATTATACCCTCTCCTACTCCGATTCCCAGAATTGATCACTGTTAACCTTCAGGAAAACACTATCCTTTCAGGCCTCTTCTATGTACACAACCTACAGAAATATACTTTTGTGTTTATTTTTGAACACATAAAAAAGGTTCTCCTATTCAATATTTTTTGGAGCATTTCAATTCTCTTTCCATTCCATGTCTACCTCATTCTTTTAACTGCTACATAGGATTCCCAGTATGAATAAAATAATAAGAGGTAACATTTACGGGACACACTCTGCGTACCAGTCACTGTTGTAAGCACTTTACATGTATTACCTCATTTAATACTCACAATAACCTTGGGAAGTAGGACTATCATTATCCTTATTTTACAGATAAGAAAACTGAGGCACAGAGAGTAAATTGCCCAGGATCTCATAGTTAGTAATTCATGGAGGCAGAATTCAAATAGAGGCAGCCTGGCTCTAAAACACATGCTTTTAAGCACCATGCTATACTACTTCTATAATTTTTCTTAATATATTCTCTTACTGATGGAAATCTACTTTGATGTCAGTTTTTCATATCACAAACAATGCTGTAGTTTTTTAGGACTGGCAATTTTTCTCTCTTTTCTGACACTAATATATAAGATATAAATAACTAAGAAACTACAACATTGAAACTAGTTCATTCAAATTATCAAAGTTTTACCCTTCATAAGTCACTCCTGAGATAATTTGGGAAAGTAGCAGTGAAGCAATCTTATTATTTATTGCTTTGTTGTTGTTCACGAAGGGGAGAAGATAACCTATCAGTGACTTTTTATAAACTAAAACACAAAATTTTCCTAGTTGCATTTAATGGTGAAGAGACTACATACACACAAGAAATTTTAATAATTATACAGTCAAAAAGTTTTGACTTTGGTCTTTGTTAATATGCATATCTGAATTAACAGATTTCATAACAGTCTGCATAACAGACTGTAAATGCAGATACGTATAGGATCAGATATGGAAAAAAAGAGGGGCAAAACAGATTATATGGGAATCAAGAATCAATTGGAAAGCATGTGTTCCTTAAACTCCAGGATCTGTGGCCATTCTGGAAGGCAGGCCCAGTATAACCTATTTCTTAGGAGAAGCTGGAAATCTGGACTTGTAATTGTTGGCTCAAATTTTTAAAACACTGTGTAGGTCAAACAAAATATATATTACCTGTGGGCCAAATTCAGCCCATGATCTAGCAGTCAGTAAACTCAAATTTCAAAGGGCAACAGAGCTTCCCGTTATGTTCTATAATGCAGTGGCATGCTTGACTCAAGTACAGCTGTGCAGAGATATCCAGTCCTCAGCACCCGCACCCCAGCTGAGGGCCAGAGTAGCACTGGGACAGTCATCAAAGAGTCTTTTCAGTTGACTCCAGCATACCATACAAACATTAATATTTTTTTTCTTCCTTTAGGATTACAAATACTTATTTCTTTATCTTATTTCATAACTGTGGAAACTAACCTTGAGAGATTCTTTTTTTGTAAGCTTGCTTGAAGCTGAACTATCCTTCTCCGAGCCATTATAAAGTTTAGATTCAGACTGAAATTACATGGAAATGAAGAAAAGAGAAATAATAATTAAAATCGCCACTTATTCTACACACACATATGGCACATAAAAACTAATGTTAAAACTATGTTTGTGACATTCTTCCCATTCATTGCTGTGATTTAGGCAAATGTCAATTTTCCAATACTGATTTTCCCTTTACAGCATTTGCGCTTGAAAACTAATCCACATTAAAGCCACAAAAATAAAAACTTATCAATAAATTAATTTACAATGTGAGGTTAAATAAGATCATTTGTAAATCTCTGCCTTCTATTTTTCAGGGTATTTCTGAAAAATACAATTATTTACTTATTCTTAGGACAAACGTATCCAAAGCAGTGTAATTTTTTAAGTTGAAATATTCTAAAAAACAAAAAACTTCTAGCAAGTTGCTGTACACATTGCCCTGTTGCTACTCCTTCTCCAAAGGGGATAAATACAAACATCTTCAGAAACAAGTAATGAAACACCCTAAGTTGTACAGTGTTTAAAAATCAATATTCCTAGCACCTACTTCTTCCTAACTATCCAGTGCCCCTAAATTATTATTAATGTCTTAAACTTGTTTCCAGACTTTGTTTATACTTGATATTTCAATTTGATCCTCATAAGAACCTTGAAAAATAGGCATAACAAGTGGTTTTATCTCCATTTTACAAATCATGAAAGGCAGGCTCAGGGACGTTGATTTTCTAAACAATCAATCAACAGCAGGGATCAGAACCCGGGTCTCCTAATCCAGTACTCTTTCAAGGAGACTACTTTCTTCCACCAGAGTAGAAGAACATAGAACTAAAAGCTGCTTCTATAAATCCTGGAACAATTAAATTAAACATATTCCTTCACTGTTCTATGATTTTCATTTTTACCTATTGTTAGACATGGGAGAAGGTACTTAAAGTTTGTAGCATTACTCCCAGTGCCAGGAAAGTATATGGGGCTTGATCCAAATGGTAGCTTTCAAGTGTTTAATGGCCAGATCTACATAATATCACTAGATGTGATCAAGGATGAAAAACTTTGGGTACAAACTCCCTCACTCAATTTTAAGATCCATGAGGACAGGGACCATGTTTATTCATCAATTATAGCCAGCTATCACCTGGGGAAAAGGAAGGGCTCAATAAATACCTTTGGAATTAATAAAATGAAAATGAAACTAGCATTTGCAGCTCATCTCTCCTAAAAATGCCTCCGCTACTTAGTACAAAATACGAATTATTATGTTGATGGTAATAACTGGCTGAACTGGAAGGGAACTGCAAACTACACTCAGTGTAGAAGGTGGGGATTAACCTAATTAAATTTTTGTTGAAGTTACTCCTTTGAGAACTGGACTTGAAACATCATATTGCTTACTCCCATGATGATAGGATATATTGTGATACTAAAACCATTCCACAAAAGTCCTCAAGCCAAACAGGTCTCTCTGTCCTCTCCTTGCCACTGGAAACTCAAAGATGACATGGCTACTGTCAGAGGAATATAATGGTTTCTATTTCCCACAGCTTAACAGGAAAATGTGTATTATAATGTACTTTTTAGATACTATTAAGTGAAGAATACTAATAATATTAGCTTAAAAGTTAATGAAAATGAATGACTGTTTAACTCTTTACCAAGTACTATGTAAGTACTTTATATGTTCTGCTTCATTTAATCCTCGAAAGCAACCTTATGAGATAGTTGTAGTTCCTCCTTTTGCTAATAAAGAAACTAAGACTAACAGATTAAATAACTTCTCAAAGTCACAGAGTCGTAAGTAGACGATCTGGGATTTGTACTCTGGTGTGCCTAATTCTCAGTCTCATGCTCTTAGCCATCTCATCACATTTATTTCTCACCTTTTAAAAACTGTTCATAGAACCTTAGACTCAAATTTAAGACTTATCTTTATGAACAACAGGAAATCTATTTCCCTAGACATGACAAGATCTGGCTTGGAGATTCCTAAACGATTCTAGTATATAAGGGACCAGCAGGCCAGATGGCTGTCACATGAGCTTGGTAAACTACAGCACACATACTTCAAGGAATCCTTGCCATACTGTGTAGCTAGTTCTGAAAAAAAAAAAAAAAGGATCCAGTGACCAAGTTCTATAGTCTTTTTAATGAAATACTACCAAAGTTTTCTGAATCAACAAGTTACCTTTTAAATACCAAGAATCATAAACTGTTTTTTTTGTTGGAAATATTTTACTAAACTAAGTTTCCTCCTTTTATAAACTTACTGACCACTATTTTAATGATGATACCTTACGGGCTGTGCAACTATGGGAAGTTATTCAATCTCTTCCAGTCTTAGTTATAAAACTCATTTATAAAATAAGGATATTCCCTCCAAGTCATAGGGTTGCTTTGAGGGGTAAATGAGGTAGTGTGCATGATGTGTTTAATACAGTACTTGGTATACTGTGTTTCAGGTTTGTGACTATCCTCTAGATTGCAAGTGTTGACATAAATATGACCTTTAGATAAATGGAATATTAACATATGAGAATACTTTCGACTTGCTTTGAAAACTATAAAATACTGCAGATATAAGGAATAATAACAATAATGATAAGTTACTATGACTCTATCAGATATTTTGATTTGGAAAGTTTTGTTTTGTTTTTTTTTAATGTCCAAGGAAATATATTTTTTACAGCAAGAGGTAGATGATTTAGCAAACCTACAGGTAAGCAGACTGATGGCTGGAGAATCAAGTCAAGATCTCGGCTCAGAAACCCCTTATCCTTGTAATAGCATTCCTTTTATCCCACTAGAAATATTATTCATGCTAGCAATTCCTTTCATGGAGATGGACAATTAAAAATTTATTTTAAAATGCTAAAAGGAAGATGGGATGATCTGATTAGCTGATTTCTCCAATTCACTCATTTACAGGATGCATGAGAAACAGGAACTGCTTTTATTTTTAAAATGGCGGGGTTTGGGGGGAAGAAGGATACCGTAAATTCACTGACCAGAATGACAGTACTGATACATTCTGCATCAAATTCATAAAAGTATAAGGTTAAAATTATTTAATGGTCTCAGTTATGCAGATCGATCATAGAAGGAATAACAAGATTTTGCTTCCCAAAGTTACTTAGGTGAGAACAAAACCTTCAGAATTCCATGAGAATAAGGTTTGATGATAAATGTATAAATTTTAGGATTGTTCTGAAAAACAACAGAGTGGAATATATGTTAAAATATATAAGGACAAACTAGTGACTATGTATCTCTTAAGCTAACAGAATAAACCAAGATTAAATCTAAGGTAAGATAGAATCAATAAGATTCAGCTCTTGGAAAATAACAGAATGAGTACAATTTTACTTACACCAAATAGTTACCATGTCAAGAAGCCTATTCATTCACTGTAGTTCTTTATTCAAAGTAAGAAAAACGAATCCTCAAACACCTATTATTAATCAAGTACTTCATGAGGCACTTACAGCATCACCATCTGAGAGTTAGATCTTACCTCTTTTGTACAGATAAGAAAACTGAAGCCACTTTGAATTCTAGCTCTACCATTTTGACCCTTGAGAGTTATTTAACTTCTCTAAGCTTCGGTTTGTTCACTAATAAAATGGGGCCAATAATACTTGTCTTCTAGTATCCTTAAGAGAGTTAAAAAGACACTTAGCAAGCTCTTAGTACAAAGTAGCTATTAATGTCATTATAATTAGCATCTAAGAAGTCACAGGTATTATATGACAGTCAAGATTCAAACTCACTTTTTTGACCCTAAAGCAGTGAATGCTTGCTGTGCAGTAGAACTTTCTGAATAACAGAAATATTCTATATCTGAGAAGTCCAATATGGTAGCCACTAGCTATATGTGGCTAGTGAGCTATTGAGATGTGGCTAGTGTAAATGAGGAACCAAATTTCTAATTTTATTTAATTTTAATTAATTTTAAGGTTCATACACAACTAGGTGCTATTGTACTCAAGGTGCAGCCTGTGTTTCCTTTTATTTATTAATGCACACTGCTTCATTAAGGTATGTAAACTTGCTTTTCAGGCTCCCAGCCCTCCCTACCCCTCCTGCCCCTCCCTCACCCTCCCATTTAGAGACTACATGTAGATTGGCTGTGGTAGGTAGATCTGGAGTTTAGGGTTCTGAGTAGGAATACCACTATTCCATACATTCACCAATTCTGGTATTAACTGCTTGAAAATAGGTTTTTAAAATTCCATAAATTTCATTGTATTTCTAACCATGGCAGAACCAAGATAAATCATCTCCTCATTATGCATCTCATATGAAATGATAAAGGTATTTCTCATGCATATGTTATATACATACAAAGTCCTACTAAATTTTCACCTTATGTACTTATATACATATAAGTACATGATGGACCTTTATGTAATGAATACTTGAAAAGTTAAGTGTGAATAAAATCTGTGTAAAGCATATCATGGAATATGATAAAAAATATATCATGGAATCCTCTCAATCACTCACAAGAACAGGAACAAAATATGTAGGGTTTTACAAGCCAAGCCTACAGCCGAGAATAGCAGAGAATTTACTAGTTTAAGAAACAGATTTTCGGACTCCGCTGGTGGCACAGTGGTTAAGAATCTGCCTGCCAGTACAGGGGACACGGGTTCGAGCCCTGGTCTGGGAAGATCCCACATGCCGCAGAGCAACTAAGCCCGTGTGCCACAACTACTGAGCCTGCGCTCTAGAGCCCGCGAGCCACAACTACTGAAGTCCACGTGCCTAGATCCTGTGCTCTGCAACAAGAGAAGCCACCGCAAGGAGAAGCCCACGCACCGCAATGAAGAGCAGCCCTCGCTCACCCCAACTAGAGAAAGCCTGCGTGCAGCAACAAAGACCCAATGCAGCCATAAATAAATAAAGAAAGAAAGAAAGAGATTTTCTTACAGTCATTGAAGTTTGATTCCACAAACATAAAAGCTTCTCCTGCTACTAAACCTGACCAGAAATAACAGTCAAAAGTCAAATCCATTGACAAATTATAGAAAATCTAGTGCATTACAAACCCATAGGAAAGTCAATGCATCATACAATACTTTTCAAATTTGAATAGTACTCTTGAAGAAAAAATTCTCAACAGACTTAAGAATATGTACAAGCATCTCATTTGAAAATTACTAATTTAGGGAACTGTGTCTTATTCTAAGAAAGTGCCTTTCAATTGCACACTATTATAGCAAGAGATGTTTGGCCTTTAACTGGTAAAATGTACATGTTTTGATTGTCATTTGAATGAGCCCAAAACACTTAGAAATTAAAAAAAAAAACAAAACAAAAAACCCCAATGAACCCTGACTATCTCTATTTCTCTACATGGAACCCTCAGACTTCAGTCTGAGATATACTGCTATAGCAGACATACCAGAACAATATCCCTCAGGAGAGAACCCTGATTACCAATAGGCTATATTTCCAAGTAACCAACAGAACCTAAATCAGCCCCAGGGGAACTTGCCTTTTTTCACATATACTACATGGTTTAGATATACCAACATAAAAACATCCCATAAAAATCTGATAGGATTTCAGTGTTAGTTCACTCATCTTAAATATTAGAAAAATGTTGTGATCATATATTTGAGGACAACAATATGCTTACCTTGCTCTTTGACATAGAAAGGGAAGATTCATCTTTGTTTTGAGAAATGTCTTCCTTTCCTCTTTCAAACCCTTTAAAAACATAGTCATTATTTCAGAATTACCACATTTGAACACATATAGGCATTAAAAAGCCAATGCACATAAGTTATTCAATTTCAGATATACACTATACAATATTTGATATACATCAGTGCAAGAAGCCTAGACTCAACATACAGTTTTAAACTATTACAGTTTAAAGACTACTAAGGGATCATGTCTAGTATAGTAATTCTTTAGAATAAATCAAGACTTACAGAGGCACTGGTGTCTTTCCCTGAACCCATCAACATAAGCTAAATATCTCTTTTCTCTGCTCATTCTCTTGGCATGAATTCAGGACTCATGGAACTTTTATTTCAGTTAGCTGTTTTCTAACAAAGAACCAACCCAGCATACTTTTCACACCTCTTGCCAAACTGGAAAACAACTCCAGAATGGGTGATAAAAGAATACTAGGGAAATAAATCTGAATTGAGGGACAGACTTTTTTAAAAAATCTAATAATGTGTTTATTGTGAGAATTAAATGAGCATGCATAGAAAGTAATTAGCATAGTATTTGCAGACAGTATGTAGTCAATTAACACTGACCCTTAATATTATCATTGTCACTGACTATTGTTATATAAATTCTAAAAGGATAAATCTAAAACATGAGTGCACTGGGATATATGTACACATCGTTTCTATCATGTAACACATTAATATAGCACTATCAAAAGCAATTAACAAGTTAATGTTGTAAGGGTACAATTAGAGAAATGTTAATGCTGAGATTTGTGTGGCAGGCATAAGAGGGGCAGTACTCATTTTAATGAAGTTCTTTCTACTTTTGAGGACAAGTAATATTAACTCTTCCCTACAACTATTTGTTCTGAGTCCAATAAAAGCCTATATAAAAATATAATGATTCATAAAGCAGCATTTAAAAAGTTATCAGTATCAGTGCCTGAAGCATTTAAAAATCATTTCTAGCATATCAATGAGACCATTTATTCTGTATTTGATTTATATTAGCTAAAACAAATCCATTCCATTTTCTTAATTCAGAGATTTTGCTGATTTTTTTTTTGTAACATGAAGAAGGAATCTTTTTATTTTCTTTTCCATCTCTGGTAAGCAGAAAGATCAGGCAATCCTAAAACCAACGAGGGAAAAAAAGAAACCTGTTTCATAAATCTAACATGGAATTTTAAAGGAAAACTTACCAGGATTTGAAACTTTAGTGTAAAGCAAACCAAAGTTACATAATTCAGTTTAAAAATTCTAAAATATTTATCCAGAGTAATAAACATTTTGTAATAAGTAATTCTTAATTCTAATGCATTAACACAAATTATTTCAAAGATCTTGTAAATACATGTACAAGAGAACAAAGATTTTCTAAAAGTATATATTATGAATGGAAAAAAGATGATGTTTTTCTTTATTCTCATAAGAACTGAATTTTACTTTAATTTCTCTAGTTTGGTTTTGGTTTCAGCTCAATCTAGGTCAATCCATTTATTAGACTAAGAAAAACACCCACTTCACTGTGTCTACATTCACATATTATTTTAAAAACAGAACAGTAAATTAAAACAAAGTGGAAGTTACAAATCTGAATAGACTTTTTTTGAACATGCAAATATGTCTTGCAGAAAGTTTCAAATGTTGGAAAAGGACACATACAAAAGCAAGATGAAACTAAACAAGAAAAACAAAAGAAAGGGCACTCATAAACATAGGTTGCATATTATGTCAGACCAATAAATGAATCCCATTTTAAAAGACTTTCTATACCTCAAACTAGCAAATCAAATCATTATTTTAAAAGCTGGCCCTGATGACTTCCAAGTTATTTAAAATTATAGCGGATAAAGCAAAAGGCTAAGTCTGGTCCAATACTTTGAGCTTCAGCTAAGTGCAAATAAGCAGATGAGTAGCTTAAAGTGCAATGACCACATAGAAGTGTTCAAAAGCCTTAAACAGAAAATATTGCCATACTGTACACTAAGTTTTCAAGGGTAATTCCAAGGTAGGCAAAGTGAAAAGCAACACAAGAAGGACTCTTTCTTTAGACCGGATAAAGGTGGCTTCCTAAAAACATGAAAAATAATCATCTTAAAATGTCAGCGAAAGTATTATATTTGTTAGAAGCCAAAAAGGGCTCAACCAAAATACTTCTTAGACTTTTATTTGTTTTCCATGTATAGGGATTTAAAATTACTTAAAAATTACTCTTTTATTTCTTAAAAATGTGATATTATAGATAAAATCCTGAAGCCTACAATACATTATTGACCATTGTCAATAATGCAGAACAGTTTCAGATCATGACTTTTTACCAAGTTTGCTTATTAGCGATATTAGGTAGTAAATTCTCTTCCTACTATCCTCCTCACTGCTACCATGAGATAGAAACCTACATCCCCACCCAAATGGCTAAGATCAAAAGGACTAAGACCATCCAAATCCAGGTTAGGTTAGAATATACAGCAACCAGAACTCTATTCACTGCTGGTGGGACTACAAATAGCATAGTCACTTTGGAAAACTATTTGACAGTATCTCCTAAAGCTGAAAGTACTCATATTCTAAGAGCACTTCTGATCCTAGTTATACCCAACAGAGATGAGTGTGTTCATGTTCGTTAAAAGACAGGTACAAAAATGTTCACAGCAGTTTTATTCGTAATAGCAAAATCTGGAGCCAACTCAAATGACTATTAATAGTAGAATAAATGAATACATTATATTCACACAATGGAATGATACACAGCAATGAAAAAGAACCAATTACCAACACACAAAACAACAAACAGAATAATAAGTAGAAAAAGCCACCTCTCCCCATCAAGAAAAAAAGCACATATCATATACCATATGATTCCATTTATATAAAGATCAGGAACTAGCAAACCTAATCTATGGTGCTAGAGGTTGGAACAGTGCTTTATCTTTGTTGTAGGAGGAACTGACTGGGGTGGGCATGAAAGGGTCTTCTGGGGAACTGGGAAATGGTTACACATATCGATACATAACTAAAAATTCAAAAAGCTGTGCACTTAACTATGTGTAAGTTATGCCTCAATAAAAAAATTTTTTTAATTCAGATATCCTTCCCTATTCTAGTTTATTAGACCTCTCCTGCTATAACATCCTTTCTTACTTAGTCTATATCCCTTTAACATATCCTGCTCTGGGCTAATTCTGATTCATTCATCAACAATGATGATAATTATGGGGATAATTAACATAATAATATTTATGAAAACAACAATAAAGCAACCAATATCCACTTGTAGGAACACTTGTGATTTGTTGTTGTTGTTGTTTTTGTTTTTGTGGTACACGGGCCTCTCACTGTTGTGGTCTCTCCCGTTGTGGAGCACCGGATCCAGACGCGCAGGCTCAGCGGCCATGGCTCACGGGCCCAGCCGCTCCGCGGCATGTGGGATCCTCCCGGACCGGGGCCGAACCCGTGTCCCCTGCATCGGCAGGCGGACTCTCAACCACTGTGCCACCAGGGAAGCCCAGCACTTGTGATTTTAAGACACTATGTTAGATGGTTTACTACTTCTAATCTTTAAAACAATGCCCCCCCCCCCGCTAAATATTAGGAATATTCTATATAACTGAAAAAATTGAGGCTCACAGGAATTAAGTAACTTGACAAATGTCAATAAGTGAAAGTATCAGAGCTAATTCAAACTTAGGTCTAACTTTAAAATTCATGCTGTTTCTAGAATGCCAGGGTGTGTCTCAAGATCCAAGGCCAACGTCTTCTGGGAGCCTTGCTTAGATTGTGTAGGCATAGAGTTAGCTGTCTCCTCTGAGACACAGCACTTGGTACATTTGTACTACCATATTTATCACAATGTACTTCAATTATTTGTTTTCATGTTCATGTCACATACTTGACTGTGAGTTCCTTAAAAGAAGGGTTTAATTCTTATTCATCCTTTCAAATACAAAGTTTGATAAACTGATCCAAAAATTAATAAAAATGGACTCTACTTTTACTTGTAGTGGCTTTTAAAAATAGGTGAAATATAGCACACCTTCAGAAAAATGCATAAAATGTAAAGGCATAATTTAATGTATACAGTGACTATCTGCATAACCGCCACCCAAATCAAGAAATACAGAATTGTCAACATTCCATAAGAACTACTCCCCACCTGTCCCATGCCATTCTTGATCACAATCTATCTATTCTTCTTTCCCTCAAAGGTAACTACCTTGACTTTTGCAATTATGATTTACCAGCATGTCACAGCCGGTATTTCATTCATTGTCATTGCTGATTAGAATCCTACTGCATGACTATATCACTACCATCCATTGTTTGGGCTGTTTCTAGTTTGTGCCTCTTACAAACACTGGTGATACGAATATTCTCGGAAATGTATCCTAGTAGACATATATATCCATGAATATCTCTAGGGTTTAAACCTAGAAGCAGAACTCCTAGGTCAGAGTATATGTGGGTCTTCAACTTTAAGAATACCATATTGTTTACCAATTTGCTTATTTTTCCACTAGCACTGTGTGTGAGTTCTCCTTTCTCCATATCCATGGTAACACGTCAATACTGACAGATTTTTAATATCTTTGCCAATTTGTTGGGTGTGTGTATCAATGGTAAATCAATGAGATTTTAGTTTGTGTGCCCCTGATTACTAATGATATTGAGCACTATCTCATGTTAATTACCATTTTAACTTTCTCTTTGTGAAGAGCCCACATCTTTTGCACATTAAAAAAAAAAACTCATTATCTACATTTTAAAAAACCTCATTGTCTATCTTTTTCTTAATTTATATAGGAATTCTTAATGTTTTCCAATTATTGGTTCTTTGCCAGTTATATTTATTACAAATATCTCCCCATTCTACATCTTGTCTTTTAATTCTATGCACGGTCTCTTTGATGAATAGCTCTTGGTTTTAATGTCAAATTTAGCAATTTCATTCTTTTAACAGTTAGTGCTTTTTGGTCTTAAGAAAGTCTCCCCTAAATCTGTGGTCATGAAGATATTTTCCAA